TTTGCTTGTACATGCCGTTTGCAACACATTTAGTAGGATATCGTTGAAGTGTCCTGACTTCCACACCTCTGGGGCACTTCATCTAAGCCTGCTGCTTTTGTTGCCCTTCTGTTTCTTAAGTGCTTCCTCCAGCTCATCTTCTGTGAAAAGTCCTTTTCTAATAGGAAGCTCTTCCTCTATGATTCTCTGTACTGGTATGTTCTTGATAACCGGGGCCTTTCCTAATAGATTCTCAAAATGTTCTTTCCATTTCTGTAATCTCTCTTCCTGGCTTGATGCCTTGAGTTTTGCTTGGGACGATCGCTTTCTTCCACTGATATCGTTTACTGTTTGCCAGGCAAGAGCTGGTTGTTGGTTTTCCCCTGCCTCTCTAATAATGCTTATTTGTTGTTGGATGTATTTCTGTTGTTCACTTACATATGCTTCTTTCAGATCGTCCTGAGCTCTCTTGAACTTCTGGATGTTGCCTCTGGTGGCTACCCTGTTTTTGTGTACTGCCAGCTTCTTAACCCTTTCCCTTTTATCTGCGACGACTTTGTTGTCCCAGGGGGCTTGCTTTCTGGTTTTTTGTTTCAATGGTATACATGTCTTTGCAGCATACTGGTGAGCTGATACAAAGTTGTTATATGTGCTGTTCGGTGTACACTGACAGCTTTCCTCTTGTGATTTTTCAAAATGGTCCCTTAGAGTGGTTGTGAAGTGATTTCGTACTTCCGCATTATTAGACAACTGCTTCCAGTCATAAGGGGTCTTTTTGCCTTTACCCTTTCTATTTGCGCGGAGGCTTAGTTGGAACCTGCCCGTCACGATGCGATGATCTGAGGAAACGCCCTCGAAGGTGTTGAAAGCTTCACAATTATGAGCACTGTTGATCCATTTCTTGTTTACAATTATGTAGTCTATCTGTGCTTTCATTCCATTTGGATAGGTGAATGTCCATAGCTTCCCTCTTCTCTTTTGATATCGAGTATTAAGACAAAGTAGTCCATTCTCGATCAAAAATTGCGCAAGGTATACTCCATTTCTGTTGTCTTCTTCATGGTAAGTATGTCTGTTGTCTTTGAGAGGTCCGAATTGTGCATTCATGTCCCCACAGATAATCTGGACATTATGCTTGGGTATGGAGCGAATGAAAGATGACAGTTTATCATAAAAGATTGTTACATCTAGCTCGTCAGATACATTTGTGGGGCTATAACATGAAATTACCGTGCACTGTGGGTTGCCATTGAAGGTAGCTGTCAGTATCCGATGGGAGATCTTCTCTTAAGTTAAACATAGTGTCAACCAATCAAAGGAACATAAATTTACATATCAAACTTAAAGGGACCAAATCTAGATTTTCACATTGCCTATAAATTGAAATTAATTGACGATAAATTTTTTCTTTGCCGCTCAACAGACGTGAGGTGTACCACATCCAGCGGGAGCTGCTCCGAGAGCGCACACGCTGTAAGGCCCTGGAGGAGGAGCTGGAAAACCCCATGAACATCCACAGGTGGAGGAAACTGGAGGTACAGATAGCTGCTTGTTACATGTAGGGGGTTGACCAGGGAGGATCTTAAGGGGGATACAGTGTATGAAAGTTTTGACAAGTTGGCAACATGTGTATGGGCAAAAGGAATAAGATGTGATAAGATAAGATCGTAATCTCTTGTACATAGCCAAGAAGTTTGCTATGCCAAATGCTGATTTGATGAAATATCCACCAATTTTTTAATGTCATGATCTAATGACTCCCTCCCCCCACAGGGAAGTGATCCCAGCACCTATGAGATGATCCAGAAGATCCAGACCCTACAGAAGAGGCTGATCCAGAAGACAGAGGAGGTTTGTTTCTTTGTAAATTGTTTAATTCAATATAAATGGTAAAGTGCCTTTAGCTGTAACACACTAGTTTTGTACAGTAGGTACAAGCTGTGTAAAAATATAGGTGTAAAGTGCCTTTCCGGGGGACACATTATTTGGGCCTACTATAGGGATTCGAACCCAGAACCTTTAGATACTATCATACTAACCAGCACCCACCTTGCCCACAGGTTGTTGAGAAGGAGCTGTTGATCCAGGAGAAGGAGAAGCTGTACGTGGAGCTGAAGCACATCCTGGCTCGCCAGCCGGGGCCAGAGGTCGCAGAACAGCTACAGATCTACCAGCAGGCTCTCAAGGAGAAAAACAAGCAGCTCAAGGTGAAACACCTCAAGATGTCTTCAGCTGTCTCAGCTTCTTAGAGTGTACCTTCTTCATATCAAATTCATCCATTGACAGAGCATAATATTTGTTATAATGTAATTTTAAACAATGTTGTTTTAGAGTTCATTGACCAGGTCAGAGGTCAGAAACAGAAGAAGAAGAAGTAGAGCAAAAAAAAAAAATGCTACGTGGGTGTGCATTTGTTATGATAGTAGAAGTGGTGTGCATTGTATCTCAGTTCTGACTGGTTTCCACCCCTACTGTTACAGTCCATGGCATCAGAGCTGAACATGTACGACTCACAGAACTCAGAGTACAAGTACGAGATCGAACGCCTGGCGAGGGAACTACAGGATGTTAAGAAGAAATACTTCATGCAGAAAAGGAAGGAACAACAACAAAAGTAAGAATTTGGAAAAATGCTCATCTGTACTGTAACTTACTGTCTGACTATTACAGAATGTATGGATGAAACTTGATAAGGATATTGTGATAGCCCAGGAGCTGTATTGCAAAATTAATATGATTACCAGTAGTCATTGGTTTGAATTTTGCCATTTCTTCATTGTGTTTTGTAAACAATTATCATTTTTATTTCATTTTAGGGAGAGAGAGAGAGCTCTGCAGCAAGCTGGTGCCCCTATCATCCAGCCCCAGAGAACAGACCAACCACGTTTCACCGGCGGGGGATTCAACCTCAGACAGCCACAACAAGCCAAAACTGTCGCCTAGAACTCTCCAACACTGTACTGTACACACTGGTGTTTAGATCACAGTCAAACCAGTCCATAGTGACCACTTAAGGGACTTGCAAGAAAATGGTCATATATAGACGTTGGGAAATGGTCAGTTGGAAAAGTGGTCTAAAGGATTACCAAAAAGTGGCCACTGTGGCAAGGTAGTCCTTGTATAGAGGTGGTCACTTGGGTACAGGTTGGACTGTATTTAGTTAAGTTTTTTTTACCACTTTGTGCAGTAATTACAATGAATTCTACACACATAACACTGCTGCTCATAGCTCTTACAAAAAGTGCCACAATGCTTAGTGTCTGCATTTCTCTTGTTGGGATTATACAATAAGAAAGCAGTTTTGTTGCCACAGATGTTTTTAAACATTTCAACAAGGTATACATGTTATAACTGAAAATACTTTCTTGGATTTTTGGTACTATTATTCTTGATAAAACATGGTTTTGTGAAAGATTGTCAAAACACCTTACAAACCATAGTCTGATATCCATGTACGATGTGCATGTACAATAAAAAAAACCATATGTACACCACCAGACATTACAGTTCTGTGACACAATTGACTTTATAGTGACCATATCACAACTTAAAATGAATTCTGTACATTTAAAAAAAGACCATATGAATATCTTTGGTGTACATGTTCTTGGTAATTCTGTATATCTGCAAGACAGCACTTGTTTCATTAATCTCACCAGATTTCATATGTATTGTAAACACAGATACAATATCAAATAAAAGTTATTTCTTTCAAAAGTTGAATTGGGTGATTAATATTGTGTTTGTTGGTGGATGATATCATTTGGGACAATTGATGACATACAGTACAAATTGAGGCAAATAATTTGAGGTTTATTACTACATATGTATGACAACAGTCGTAACATATGTATTATTGCTACATACTAGAGTGCTATATGTATCTTACATACGGAAGAAACCAAATCAAGACATCTTCAGATCACATAAGATATAATTGATACATATAAAATATGATAACTAAAAAGTAGAAAAGGAATGACATTTTTATTCACTACATTTACTTACAAGAGTTCCACGATCTCATACCTTCGCCAAAAGATGTTTACCCTTGCGGGTGACGAATTCTACATTTTAATCATTGATTTTGTAAATAAGAGCCTCATTTGCATGGATTATATCAGTTGATCATATTCTCCATCCAATGACAGCCTTATCATAACAAAAAGGCTATTATAGCACTTCCTCATAAATTATGCAAATGAGGTCATGATTTGAATAAATTATGTTTATTGATGTTCACCTTCACTTAACTTCCAAATGTGGCAAGTATGAAATTCGGGGTGCAGCAGTTACAACTATGGAATTATAAGAATTTGCCATTAATTATGCAACTTAGGTCCTCATTTACATAATCTATATCCTCAGATGTTTTTCTCGTTCTCAAGTAGATGTCACAACTGTTTCATAGTTCTATTATCGAACAAATCAGATTTATAGAATTTCCTCATTAATTATGCAAATTATCTCCTGATTTGCATAATTGCCATCTGATTATGTCAAGCATCACTTCAACTACCTACATACCAAAAATCACGACAATACGTCAACCGGTTCTTGAGTTATCGTCCTTCAAATTTTTTCAACAAATGCTCCTGCAGTTCCAGAACAAGGCGCTAGGGGACCCAAACTCATGTCACTTCTTCCCTACTCCAAGAGCTATCTACCAACCAAAATTCGTGACCCTAGCATGTCCAGAACATGAGATATCAAAACCGGAAGTTCAGCTGCAGTACCTAGGAAAGCCGCCAGGGGGCCCAAAATCTAATCATTTCTAGGTCTCATGAAGTCCTACCCACCTACCAAGTTTCATTCCAATCCATCCACTGCTTCTCGAGTTATCTTGCTAAACCACACACACACACACAAACACACCCACACACCCACACACACAGAGACAAACGCTACTGAAAACATAACCTTCTTGGCGAAGGTAACAAAGGT